TAACAAAAATGGAAGGCAAACAAAAAGGATCAAAGGTGTGTGTGTGTATGTATGTAATTTTTTTTTTTTTTTTTTAAGTCTTGCTTTTTTAAGCGAATCTCAAGGTAGTTGGGGGGGCCCCAGCAAATGATTTTGAGCACTTTGGATTGGTAATACTGTATGTTCTGTTGCAGTAAATTCATTTGTTCTACTTACCTCACTTCCCTGTTGTCTGCTGCTGACTTAGTATTGATGAATATTGCGTTCTGTAAAATGATTCTTTTATCACTGCCTGGCACAGAAGTCTTACATGCATGCTTTATACTATTTGTTCTGTTTTTACTTTGTCTGGCTGTTAATAGATACCTTCTTCTGTGTTTGTATGGTGGAATTAATAAGAGTGAATATTAGATAAGGAAGTCTAGTAAGCAGTGCTATTTAGATGACTTCATTCATAGGGTATTCCGCGGACAATTACAATGTGCTTTCAAAACCTGAGATTCACATTTCAGTTCTTTAAATTCAGCTCCCTTGGTTAAACCATGTGCTGATGACTCAGTAATCCATTTTATCATATTGTTATCCTCCTGCTGCTTCTTCATGCTTGAACCAGATTGTGAGCTTACAGTACACATTGAATGCCAGCTTCTGTATCTCTGCTTTCTGGTAAGACCCCAATTCAGCAAAGCACTTCAGGATTTTTTAATTAAAGTTAAGCATCTGATTAAGTCCCTTACAGAATAGGGTCTATGTAACCAGGCCAGGCAAGAGTCTAGAGGTCTTGCTGCAGCTACCATGCACTGAGACGATTAACAGAGAATTCAGTGAACAAATCGATTCATTTTCTGGTTTTCTCAGTCGGTCAACTCTCATTCTAAGTAATACCCTCCAGAACTGTGGTGCAACAAAATGGCAGAAGGGTGTCTAAACTCCAGCTGGGCTTGACACTTTTTAGACTGCCTGCTGGATATCTGTCTGACTCCTGTATTCATCCACAGGAGAATGCATTAGCTTTTTAAAATAGCTTTCAGAGAATGTGATCCCAATTATTGCAGCATATCAGATCTGCATCTGATCTGAACTGAGCCAGCTAGAAGGAAACAGACAGGAAAAAAATAATTTAAAAAGCCAAATAAAATCTCCCTCAGTTAAGAGGCTGATTATCACAGAAAGTGAGGGTTGGGAGGGACCTCAGGAGGTCTCTAGTCCAACCACCTGCTCAAAGCAGGACCAGCCCCAACAAGATCATCCCAGCCAAAGCTTTGTCTAGTCAGGTTTTGAAAACCTCCAAGGATGGAGCTTCCACCACCTCTCTGGGTAACCTGTTCCAGTGTTTGACTGCCCTCCTAGTGAGAAAATTCTTCCTAATATCTAACCTCAACTTTCCTTGCTGCAACTTGAGCCCATTGCTCTTTGTTCTGTCATCTGCCACCACTGAACAGTCCAGCTCCATCCTCTTTGCCCCCCACACCCTTCAGTAGTTGAAGGCTGCTATTAAGTCTCCTTTCAGTCTCCTTTTCTCTAGACTAAATACGCCCAGTTCCCTCAGTCTTTCCTCATAAGTCATGTCCCCCATCCCCTTCCCCAATTTTGTCACCCTCCACTGAACTCTCTCCAACTTATCCACATCCTTTCTGTACTGGGGGGGACCAAAACTAGATGCAGTACTCCAGATGTGGCCTCACCAGTGCTGAATAGAGGGAAAGAATCACTTCCCTTGATCTGCTGGCAACACACCTACCAATGCAGCCCAGGGTGCTGTTAGTCTTCTTGGCAACAACTGCACGCTGCTGGCTCATATCCATCTTATTTGTACACTGTAACCCCCAGGTCCTTTTCTGCAGAGCTGCTGCCCAGCCAGTCAGCCCCCAGCCTGTCCCGGTGCATGGGATTGTTCTGTCTTAAGTGCAGGGCTTTGCACTTGTCCTTGTTGAACCTCATGAGATTCCTTTTGGCCCAATCCTCCAATTTCTCTAGGTCACTCTGAATCCTAGCACTACCCTCCAGTGTATCTACTACTCCCCCGCAGCTTAGTGTCATCTGCAAACTTGATGAGGGTGTGCTCCATGCCATCTTCCAGGTTGTTGATGAAGACATTGAACAAAAGCGGGTTAAGTTTGGATGACATTAGAAGACTGGAAGATAAGAGAACTATAGTGCTTCAGTGCTTGCTATATAAAAGTTAAAACAGTAGCTAGTAGACAATTAACCAACAGTAAAATTAATGCTTTTGAGAAAGAAAGGGTGAACTACATTCTTGGGTAAAGGATTCGTTCAGATTTTCAATGATGAGCTTGCATGACCTCTCTGCAACAGGGTGACTCTCACTTTAAGAAAATATAACATTAACTTCTTCTTGGTTTCCCTGTTCTCCGGCCCTATGCTGGACGCGGAGTACGTCCTTTGGTACATGGGGTCTGGGGCTCTCATTCATGGAAAAGTGTGTGTGTGTGTGTGTGTGTGTGTACATCTTCCTCAGTGCATGTAATAAGCCATGTATTGCATAAGGTAAAACGAACAGAGTCACAAGTCATTTGGTAAAGGAATGAAATGACTGTCAGAGCTTTGTCTTAAGGTAACGACCTTGAGAACTGTGCCGATTTACCTCAGCTGTGAAGCTGGCCAAACCCTTTAAAATTTTGCTTTGATGTCCATTTCCCTTGAAGGCAGGATATCCTATGATGCTCTTTTCCTTGGAGGCCTGCCCTAGAGGTGAGGGTATTTCATTTTATGTGACCTAATGCTGCATAGACAAGCACTGCGTAAAGGTTTTGCAAATGTTTTATTATTACTGATTTCTGCATCAACTTTTAAACTACCTGTTGCTGTACTGGATGGCTGAGATGTACTGGGAGAAATCTTGTTCTCATCCAGCAAAAAAAAACAAACCCCAGTCGCTGTTTAGGTCCACGCAATTTTGGTACTGTTCCTTTAAATATATGGTAATGAGATGCCTCAGTAAAAATATATATTCCAGAGAGGGCAGGAAGAGAGAGGTGGAGTGGCATAAATATTAACTGTTCCTTGTGTGGTTAATTAGTTTTCCCATACAAGCCTAAACAGAATTTGCATAGTTTATTCCTGTTGGCAGCTGGAACCAGTGTGTGTGTGTGTGTGTGTGTGTGTGTGTGTGAGAGAGATTTATCAGATCCCAGTGAGGTATTCGGTGTTTCTTTCTGCTTTTTAAATTTTTTTTTCTTAATTTCTTTCATTTAATAAATAGTTTTTTAAATAGCTGCAGCAGGAAGGGATATCGTACATCTGTTTGGCTTCACAACGAATCCCTGTCACCATGTCAAGAGGGGTTAATGGAATTCTTTATAGCTCTGTCTAGATTTTCCTTTAGACTCTGCTGATTGCTGGAGGGCTACTTTTGAGAGTTTGCCATGAGCGGTTTGGGGAATCATTTCCATGTCAGCTTGTCTCACGAAGACATCTGTACTGCGATGCAGCCAGAACAGACAGCTGGGACTGGAGCTGTATCCTTGCTGGCAGTTATGGAGCAGCTAAAACATTGAATTCTGTTGCAAATGAAACTGGAGCAGAGGGTGAATGACACTTAACAATAATGCAACCTAGAAATGCAGAAACCAGATATAGGGTCAAGTCATCCTCTTCTTTTAAAGTGCTCTCACTCTGAAGTGTAACCGTATTGACTCCACTGGTGTTATTCCTACTTATGTATTCTGGCATCAGTGTAAGGGGACTGAGGCCCACATTATATTAATTCTACGCATCTATGTTTACACAAGTGGCAAGTGTTTGGAGCAGGCCCCGGTGACTCCTGGGGACAGAAATTGCATACAAGCTGGTGTAAGTAATAGGGAAATGTTCAAATCTATAACACAACAGAAGTTCAGTGCACATAATCTGCTTTCAAAATGGCCAAGACTGGTTTAAGAGAAATCTGGGTGGATGTCGTATCAGACTTAACTGATTTAGGTTAAATTGGTTTATTGAACTTCTGCCCCAGATCCTCTCCAGATTTGTTAACTCAGTCCTCAGCATCCCAGGATGTCTTGCACCTCCCCTGCAACACCTCTCCCCCTCCCTTGGGTGGGTTAGTCTTGGTCCAAGATGTCTGCTCCAGCCAAGCAGGGAGGCATGCTCTAGCGCCCCCCAGCTTCTGGCCTGGGTTACTACAGGTATATAGCTGCATTTCCAGACTCAAACATCAATGTCTGTTCATTTGGTTATTGGTTCAATCTACACAGCTTAGACTAACCTGCAAAGATTGAATCAATTCAGCCTCAGGCTTTTTAACTGTTTGTACGTAGCCTAAATATCTTAAAACCATTTCAACCCTTAACTTGCCATATTCTAATCTATTTTATTTTGAATGAAACTGGAAATGTATTATGCATGTGCATATAATTTTTAAACACACCTCCCACCCCACCACACACACACCAAGATGAAAGAGAGATCTCTTGTCTTGTTTTGTGTGCGTGTGTGTATACACACATAAACAGAACAAGATACAGTTGTTATTAATAATAATCAGTAATGATTATGCAATTTTATATATTGTGTATATAAAATAAAATAGTGGACTTTATATATGTGCACATAAACCCCACTCATTATATTGTACCTTACAAGGGCTCATTTCTGGGGGGAGGGGGGTGGAAACTAAGCAGGTTTGAATTTTATCCAAATGGATTTGCTCAATCCTTCATGTGAAATGACTCCTGTTCACTTCTGGTTCAAAGGCAGCCTAAATCTGCAGTAGTGAACACACAGTAACATGCAAATCAGATTCAGGCCCAGGAAAGACCCATTTCATTACCATCCCCAAGCAGCAGAAGCAATCTGTCATAGCAGCATGCACGCTCTGCTGTCGTTACAGTCCATCGGACATATTCATAACCATCCTTTGTGCCCAGCACTCCCTTCCTGACTTAATAGATTTTTTTTTTTCCTCCCATTTCCTTCTAATAAAATATAGAAAGTTTACGGGGGGTGAGGAGGAGAGGAAAAGAAACTACATTTGATTTGCATAAATACAATTACATCCATACCTTCCAGCTGCCCAGACCTGAGGCTTTTTCAGTCACATACTAGCATTCCTGTAATGGGGGCAGTCCCAGTTGTCACCGTAGTTAAAGTTGTGTTGGTTCTCAGCATGGCTTTACCTGCGCACAGAATCTAACCAGATTCATTTCCACGCAGACCTGGAAGCAGTTCTGTTGTCACCTTGGTCTCCTGCAAAAAAAAAAACAAAAAAAACACCTCATTTGCATATGCACAGTGACTGTAATAGATCTGATTAAATTATAGAGATTCATTCTAGGAAGAGGCTGAGAAATGCTTAGATTTAGTTCCAAGTGAAGTAAAGAATATCCATTTTATTTATTTCAAATTTCCTCCCAGTTAAGGTCTTTGGAGAATTCTGGTTTTAAACAATACCCCATTTTTGTACCAATGTACTTTTGGGAAGGTGGGGGGCATATCTAATTCATAGTTATGTAGAAATTAATTAGAAGTTAACAAGCTCTCTGGGATCTTTTCGGTTTCTGGACTCTTTAGAGCTGGCTGGGAATTTTTCAACAAAACTTTTTCCAGAAAATGCTGATAAATTGACAGGGAAAGATTCATTTACCAAACTTTTCAACTCCAATTTTGAAAAAAAGCTTGGAAATTGTTGAAAGGCTTAATCTTGACATTTCCAATTTTCTCATTCAAACTGTTCCATCTGATTATAATAAATACCAGACAAAGCTCAAAATTGATGTACCATTTTTCAAAATAATCAATAGATTCTAATTAACCTGAACAGAATTTTTTACAGTTTTGGTTTTGATCTTTTGATTTCTTGTCCAAACTTGAGAGAAATTTTTCTATGTCTCAGACATTTTTGTGGGGTAGGAGCACCATTAGCAGTTCACCACTGGTAATTTTATATCTCATGTACACCCACTAGTAACCCACTCTGCAACCAAAAAGTTTGGAAACAGTTGCCTCTGGAAGGCAGCAACAGCATTATTGGCCCCAAGAGGCTGCCCTTGAGCATCGCACAGTGTTTTCCTAATTCTGGGGCAGACTCTGCCTCTCTCCAATGCTTACAACCCAAGCTGGGTTAATGAATTGGTGGTAGGACTTGGTTCTCAAACTCAACATGGTTCAGTTCTGAATCCAAATTTATAATTGAATATAATCTACTCATCACCTTCTATAAGACTACTCCAATTCTTCATGTTTAGTAGTAGCATCACAGTTCCCAGGACCCGTTGTCATAGACCAGCACCCTTCTACACTTGGGCACTGTACAGGCATAAAACAAGTATACCTGTGCTCAGGAGCTTCTGATCAAAGTCTAAAGCAAAAGACAACAGACAGGTGCAGCCAGACAGGGGAGCACCAAGAGATAATGAGACAATACTGGTTCGGATGATGGAAAGAGATCTTGGTATACCACCAGCCGAACCTTTGTTGAGCTGTCTGTAAGTATTGCATCAGAGAAGAGTGTTCAGGTGGGATTTGAAGAGGATCATGGGAAAGCAGGGTTGGAAGAGAGATCATGATGTCATTTAGTCCAGCCCACTGCTCAAGACCAGATCATCCTTGAGTAACCTTCCTAAATCAGGTGTTTGTCTAACCTGGACTTGACATTTCCAGGGTTGGAGATTCTCCAATTTCTCCTTGTTGCAGAGTTTGACCACCCTTTCTCTTTATCTCCAGTCTACATTTCTTCTGTGGCAGTTAGAGGCCATTGCTCCTGGTCCTGTCCCTACAGCCGGGATGAGGAGATTATTTTAGGGTGCCTGTAGGGAGCTTCTCCCACTTGTAATTTGAAATTCAAATGCGTGTGTGAGAGAAAATGTAACAAGTGGGTCAAGAAAGCTGGCATTGCAGGCCAAGCAGAGATAAGAGTCCAGCAACTGAAAGGTGGATGTGCAAGGACAGATTGAGAAGGGCCTTGAAAGTGAAAACAAATAGCTTCCAGGTATTGTGACTGAGAAGGGGAAGCCATTGGGAAGATGCAGAAATGTGCAGGGTAAGACTGCAGTTTATAGTAGAGCAAAAGGCATTGCTGTAATTGAAACACAACATGAAAAGAGCTTGAATGAGTGTTAGGTATGGGTAGATAGATAAAGCTGTAACTTTGAGATGTTGTGTGGAAGGGAGCTGCAAGGTCTAGGCATAGTTGGGATATGAGGGTTTGGAAAGAAGTCCAAGCCAAAAATGATAATCAGGTTATGGACCTGGGTGACGGACAATAAGGGAGGATGATGTGCATGGCATGGAAGAAAGAGGGTAGCAGTGAGGAGTTAAGAAAGAAGACAAAGTACTCTGTTTTAGCCATATATTTCTCCCATGTCAGATGAATTTGCCTTTAATTTCAACTTCAGATCTATAAAAGAGGAGTCTGGACACTTAATTGTATCATAATAATCCAACTTTGATTTAAAAACTCCCAGCCCCAGAGCACAGGGAGAAATACCATAGATAGATACAGACAGATGGGCTTTTTTCTATGGCCATAGAGCCATAATCTTACTGCTGCCTTCATTGAAAAACTAATTGCCCTTTTATGCTTATAGTTCTTTCAGCAGAAAATCAATATCTCATTTCGGGAGCCCAGCCTCCATGAGGTCCTGATTACCTTTATATACCTGTAGGGTTTTCTTCCCTACTTTCACTTCCCGCGATTATTGACTACTGCTGGAATTAGCAGAGATGCTGGTACTTCAAAATCTTCTGATTGGTTCAACTGATGAAGATTCATTCACTACAGAGCCCACTTGATTATGATCAAGAGAGAGAACTAATGTTTCCCAGCACATTTAGCTTTGATAAATCTAGTTCATAAATAACTGTCAGTCAGTACTTCCTTTGAAGATTATATGGTGCCCTCCCCCCTCCAAAACCGCCCCCCCAAAAACCTGCAAGCACAAATGCACATAAAGCAGTCCAGAGAGAGCATTTTGGCCTGTTATTGTACAAACATTTCTCTCATTTTTGATGTTGAGAAACTTGGATCACATAACACGAATCTTAATTGGGAAGAAGTTGCAAGATAAATTTAAAATAATTTGGCAGTTGTTATAATTTACTGAATGAATTTCCCCTTAAACTGATCTAATAGCTGATCATTTTTCATTCATTTATGAAGAGCCTGACATTTCTTAACCAAACTTTGCTGCTTGGAAAAATCAAAGAGATTCTAGAAGTAAAAGATAATTAGCTCCCTGGCTATTGAGACATTTTGAGTTTACAAGCTCTGAATATCAGAATCTGAGAGCCCAGTAATCAGCTTGATAGGCAACATTTGTCTTCTATGGCAATCTGCTAAATTGTAGCTGAAAAGCTAACTTCTAATACATTTTTTTTCTTCATTGCACCAGAAAAATTACTTTGCAAGGTTGCAAAAAAAGCGAAAGAATGCAGAAAGTCACGATATAGGCTAGAAGTAACAGAGTAGGATATAATAGTTCAGGATTTTTTCTTTACAAGCTGTTTTGTAGAGGGGGAAGGATTGGAGATCTTTCCCGTGGATTCACTCTGGCTTGGAAACTTTGTGGCATCCTTCTGCAGCCAAAAAGACTGAACCACACAAAGCACATTAAGGATTTGAGGCTCCTGTATGCACTGCAGGAGACCTCCTTTAGTTCTGTTTCTAACATGGATGTGTCCAAACTGGCAATGTTTTTCAGTAACATTTTATGTTGATTTGTATTTATTTGGAACAGGTTCCAATATTTATTCTCCACTTTGTAGGGCTGCTGGGAGGCTTTAATCATTTCTGTTTGTAAAGGCTTTGAGAACCTCTAAAGGATGGCACTATCAAAATGCAAAGTAATTGTACTGACCCCTAGAGTCTAGATGGATTTGAACAGCTAACCTCTGCCAATATTTGGACAACTTTTAATGTAATAAATATTTTTGGAAACAGAGGGTTGAAACTGATGTGCTTGTCACTCGATGTACATCTAGCCTTTAATTAAGTTGCAATATATAAATGATGTCCTAGAGAAACAAATTAATTTGGCCTTCAAGCCAAGGGTTGTAGTAGCTGGGTGGTTACTACATGAATCTAAGTTAATGGCCTATATTTCCTATGCCACTTAAATTTTGGGGACTGGGACAAACATGTCTGTTTGTGGTCCCTGTTTTGTTATACACTGCAAGTTAAACCATGTGTTTTTAGTCTGGAGAAGTATAACTGGAGCTATGTGGATTTTCTTCACTGTGAGAAAAGCTGGCAAAAGCAAAAAAAGAAATTACTTCAAAATGTTTTTTACAAAAATGCAAGACACATATTGGCTGAGCATTTTCCCTTATTGTGAAAATCTAGCATGATGGTAAAAATGTTGCTAGCATCTTGCACATTTCTTTCAAGGGCAAAATGTGCTGCATTTTCACCATGTTAGGTTAAATCCAGTGTAATCTGGATCAAACGTGCAACTGTTAAGGAAAATATCACACACTGTAGGTAAACCATAAATCATAGGTAGACCCTTACAAGAGTAATATGGGGTGTTGTATGTCACTACACGTAATTTCAACAGAAAAATAGGTACTGCTGCTATACAGAATTTTTGTCCAATAGGGGTTGTGAGCATGGCAGTCTTTGGCCTTTTGGTAGGGCAAATTTAGTATTTCCTATGAGATCCTGCCTATGCAGGGGGTCGGACTCGATGATCTATTGAGGTCCCTTCCGACCCTAACATCTATGAATCATTTATACCAGTGGAGACCAGCCTTTTTGGCAGACATCCCACAAATTAGCCTTGCACCTTCACCAAGTACCCCACTAACACCCTTCCTCTGGATCTGCTCTTCTTTCTGCTCCCAGCCCTGTCCTTCCAGGCTGATCTGCTACTTTGTTTCCACTTCTTACCCTGTCCTCCCTGCCTGATTTTGTTGCTTTTCTTTCTGCTTCTTGTCCTATCTGCTGCTGTGTTGCCTGCCCCCCCATTCCCCTTCTGCCACGTGCCACATGGAAGCTGCCCATGCCAGTTGTGGTGGCCATGCCACCTGTGGCACCTGTGTCATGGGTTGGCCACCTTCTATTTTATACTCAGGCTCAGCAAAAGTTCAATAGGTGGTTGTCAAATCCTTGTTGAGAAGAACATGGCAAAACCAACCCCAAAGAAAGAATGATCCG